AGCGCTTCGTTTTCTCTCTTGCTTCACGATGCATCTCCATGTCATGGCGAAATCCAAGATGCACCGATAGTTCTTCGCCACCCATAGTGAACTGCCAAGCTAACTGTCCATGTCAAGCGTGGAGTCATGTCTTGGAATTTGCACTTTCTACCAATACCTTAATGGTGAGCAAAACGATGATCATCCCCCCATCCCGGATCCCCCCAATAATTCGTTCAAGGCTCAAGACCCACTCGCATTTCTAGGATTCCAATGGGGATGGTGTCTAGATTATGGCTCCCAAAGAAAGTCCTGAACGTCCTGAGCGTCTCAGAAAAACAATCAGAACATCACTACTGCCTTACCCCGGGGGGGGTCAAAAATGTAATTTACAATTTCGGATGTGTCAAAATGCAGGTTTTGGAAAACGGTGAAAATTGAACATACAGGTCTGATGTACCTCCATCTCACAAGACAGGGGTCAAAAATGTAAGTTGCATTTTTGACCCTTGTGTGTGTTTGTTTGGCCTACCCCCCCTCCTTTCAGAGTCTCCAGAAGTAGGCCAAGACCTCTTTCAGGGGGGGGGGGGGTCAAAAAAAATAACATCCTCACATAGGCTACCTCAACCCTAGATCTTACAATTTTCACCCCCCCTATAGGGCTATATAAGGCTATTGTTGTAAAATCAAAAAATGTAACTTACAATTTTGACCCCCCCGGAAGGTCAAGCACCGCAAGGGGGTAGTGATATCAGAACTTTTCATCGACTCCCAAACTCCCTTCATCGAGCGCCATCTTCCAACCCCTTCCGCTCCTCGGCGCTGCCGTTCCTGGAGCGCATTCCGCACAGAGGCACGTTCCGCCGCGGATGCCAGGCGCGAAGTCCGAGGACTCAGCGGGTCGCGTCTCAACTCGCCCATCTAAAGAAGCGGGTCGCGTTGGTCACGTTCTCCAAGGCAAGTTGGCTTGGGTCGAATCCTGTTCGCCGTTCTCTCGTTCGGTTTTGACTTTTCAGATCTCAGTCGACAGAAACGGTCGGTTTACCGGCGAAACGGTGAGTCTTGCGAGGCGAACTGCGGCAGGACAGACGGCAAAGGTGTCCTTGCAATGCTTTTCTGGAAAGAAAGACTAAACGACCAACCACAAAGAAGAGCAAAATGGCTGGTGCTTGCAATCAAGAGAACCAGGTACAAAGTCTTGAACTACCTTGCATTGATATGAATGTTTCAGCAAAAGTCTTGCGCGCTTTTGCCCACTCGAAAGATGTATTGGCAATCCTGAAACTATCTGGTTTAGGGATCTCTATGTATACAATAATGCGATCTCAACGTTTCTACTACTGAAGGTCACTGCAATATGCTCTGGAGCCAAGCTGCACTGTGAGCGTGACACGCGGCACGACTGAGGTCAGACACAGCAGCTACCGACAATATGTGGTTTTTATCTACTGTAATAGCAATGGCTTCCTAACTAGTAGCAATGGCCTCCAACCTAATAGCGATGGGATCCACCCTAGTAGCGATGGCCTCCAACCTACTAGCGATGGCCTCCACATATCTGACATATGTGGCTTTATCTCAAGGTGAAAAAATTTGCTTGGCTGAATCCGCTTGTGTCTACTTGTCCTTTGACCAAGGTGGTAGAGGGTCGAAGAACGGCAAGTGAGCAGCTTCCCTGGTCGCAAAATAGTGTGGTCCCCCATTAGCCTCCCCAAAACAATCTGATGGACGTCCAATCACTTTGTCAAGTTCGTGCCTTTGGCGTGGCAAACTATGTGGCCCCGCGCAAGAAAGACCAAATGTTCGCCTCCCAAAGCATCCTGAAATTTTGACCCATGGACCCATGCTGAAATATTAGTCACTAGTCCAAAGTACTTTTGCTCAGGGTTTAGAGCAAACAACCAGTGCAGACCATCTTCTGTAGGCTTGTTTGGATTGGAAATCCAATCCTTTCAAAAGTGATGATGGAAAGAGCCACCTGTGATTCGTTTCCTGTGCCTTCAAACTCGGAAACCCTCCAAAAAGCGCCAAACCACCGATTGGCCCAACACAGGAGAGAGACTGGGTTGGTCCCATGGAAACCAAGTGGAACTGGTCCGTGTGAGATCGCCTCAAGCAGTTCCCAACTTATGGCAATCCCCAAAAACGCTTCGGAAGAGGCTCCGATTTCAAGAATGTGTTTGCAATTGAGATCCAAGGAAAAACGCTGTCGCCTCTGATACTCGTGGTTCGCAGCCCCAAGAGGCCAGTGCCAAATACCAGGAAGAGTCAAAAGAAATCCCTCACACTTTCAATAGCCTCATCCAAACACTGCCAACTGCTCCCCAAAGTTCTTGTTTTGAACCTTGGCGCAGGTCTCGAGTCATCAGAAGACAAGCGTTCAAACATATGTGGTCACTACAGATGGCCATCGAAGCCTTTTTTCTCTTTGCTAGGTGAAGCATTTGGCCAAACGGCCTGCCCTTTGAGGGATTTGGTGGCTTCTATCTTACTTGGGACAGTGTACCTACGTTCACCCCTAAATGAAAAATCTCAAAGTGGTGCCTTTGCTACATTCAGTTAGATTGTAGATTGGCAGGAGGAAATCCTGCCAAACTTTGTCTGACTTGGTAGAATATTTTCAAGAGAGTCATCAACAATCAATTATCAACTAGGAACCCTTAGCCGTCAGCTGTCAAAAGACCCATTGTCAACTGTCTTCCATGGCCCAGTTCGTTGGAAAACCATCACACGACGCGGACGGGCGGCTGCACTCGTGCACCACTTCATACTACTCCCAGTCCTGATCCGGTCGGCTCTTCTTTGAAAAAAGTCCTTCAAGGACCATAGAACGCCATAGGAGGCCAAGCACGCTTTACCGAGCACAAAAACACCGAGGGGCTCACAATCAGGGGGTTCGGCGTCTTTCCTTGGATGGGACCATCTACTCTACTCACTCACCTCGGAGTTTGGACGGTAGCGGGATGGATAGTCCACACAATTATTAGAAACCGCTGATTGAATTTGTTTTATAGGAGACTCGCACTGGTCTATGTTTCTCCCATAGCACTGGGATTATTGGATGGTTCCGAAACAAGAGCACGCTTCCTCATTCCATCCTTACAACCGAACCTGAATCTTTGCGTGCTTTGGTTCAGACATGGTGAACCTCTGCAACCTTGAAGGTAAGTCCACAAGCTCTTAGAGCATCAAGTGACTCAAGTGCTTTGACACCAAAAAGCTGACAATTATACAGTATATAGTTGGTGCTGGTTTTTCCCCTTGTGTTTCAATTCTTGTTCGGTGATTTTCTCTCCCCACCGCCACTGCTCTCTGGGCCGCCACCGCACCGCACCGCCCGACATCGATCGCTCGCGCGGGGTCCGTCGGAGGTCGTCGGGCCGTCGGACCCCCCAGACCCAACGGTCTGCATCGCTTGCGGGATCTCGGGTCCAAACTCGGGTCCAAACCAACATGGATCTTTAGAATCACAGAATCACACAAACATCTTTTCGGCTCTCCAGCTGGGGGCCTCCGTTTCAGACAGACCCACGTGGAGACGCGGAGTCCGCCGAGTCCAAGGTGCACAGGTCACGCTGGGTTTCGCTGGGTCACAAGCGGGTCACAGGCTCTTTAAGGGTCACAGGTCATCTCGGGGTCACTTGACCACCTTTGAATAATTCTTGAATTGCCTGAGTTTTCCACCCAGCAAAATCGTTCAGGATAGAAGTCTTTAACACAATGACCATTTAAAAAAGAAGGCAGGGGCATCACTTGCGATTCGCTGGATGTCGGATGTCTATCCGCGTGTCTCCACAGGTGGGGACCTGCCTTACTTTGGTTTGGGTGAGTGACCTGGGGATAGAATGACATAGAAAAAGAGAGAGGACGACCAGGGCATTTCATTGACGCTTCCTTTGGGTCGGGAAGACTCAAGTCTTGACCAGTAACACCCATAGTGAAGAAGACCAGTGAGATTATGTTTTGCCCGTAGGCGGCTACTAGAAACAAACTACTAGGTAACCTGCTACCTCACCCTCATTAAAAAGGGAAGCTCTCCCTGCCTGAGGGCGGGAGTCCTTGAAGAAGCGCTCGCACTATGCATTTTGGTTCCTGGAGTCATTTCTAAAAAAATGATATGCACTGCATGTTGAATGAACTCAAAGCAAAGTGAGCACTTGACCCCGACTCTAAGGCTCTCAAGATTGGAGTATGGTTCTCCCACCCAACAAGAAACGTAAACACCACACGTAGACCATCGAGACCATCGAGTCCTGGACCCGACCCATCGATTCACGGAACCCACCGGTCACGGATCGCCAGTTCACCTTGGGGGACGGCTGGAGAGAGCGGTGAGGCCGAGGGCGAACGGCCAGTGAGTCCCAGGTGGTAGGTGGTGAAGCACCGCGAACAAGGAGAATCCGAAAGGCTCCGAACAAAATGGAAGATAACACAAAGGATGGCCCCCGAAAGACCTCACCGCTGCTAGAAGGGGGAAACCGACAGCTTAAAAACCAGTTGATAAGACCGACTTTGTGCTGATTGTTGATGTCCCATGTGATCAAGAACCTCACACTGTCGAACCACTACTTACAGTAGCTGTTGGAGATTCAAGGATTCTCATCCACACCTAAACAAAGAGGCATTGACCCGTCCGTACAGGGCTGGAGTTGCACAAACAAAATAAAGCAGCCCAACACACCTCGGTGCTTCTTCTCAATGTGCTCTTCTTGCCATGTAGTTTGCCAATCAAACCATGAGACCCAACCAAGGCACCAGTTAACCCTCATCAATGCCCTTCGTTGAAGCAAACATATACTTGCCTGTTGCCCTGGCACGCCCGGTCGGTGGTTGGTCTTGCAATTTGCGTATATAATATAATGATCTAATCAACTCCAACTGGGGTTGACCCACGTTGGTCACCGAAATCGTGCGGGACATCGGTCGGCTTGCCCCACATGACATCCAACCCTACTAGCGAGGGCTCCAACCTAATAACAAAAGGAACCTAAGAGCGATGGCCTCCATTCCTGTCAAGGGGCTTGCAGCACTCCAAGTAGCAAATCACACAGGCCTTCAGTGTCGAATCAGTCTCGGTCCGTTCGATGGCAAGACGAGCGATGGACGATCTCACACTATGAGCAACAACATCATCAAAGATCAGTCGCTGACAAAACTCTTGCCGATTTGCTCTCAGTTGGCTGTTTTTTAAGGCTGCTCTACCTCGCCAAGCAACTTTGCCTGCCTGAACCCAACTGGGCCCCTTGCGACAATCATGAAGATCAGTGCCAGGCACTCCGCAGTGGCCCCTGTGGCAAGGTAAGGGTTCTCCACAGCGTTCAGGTCAATCTCCTGGTCGATCTGACACTTTAGCCAGCATCAGGTCCACCCGGTAGAAACATCAAGTCTCTGCTGGGTGGATAATTAGCGGAAGATCTTAGGGACTTAGGGAGGTAAACTAAATGCAGGAAGTAGAGTCGGCCCTACCCAAGTCTAAGTGGTTGTCTGTTTTTGCTATGGCCCTGGTTTCTATGGATACTCATACCATACCCCAAAATCTCCCCACCAATCCCGTGACTTGGCTACACGTCTTCTTCTTAATGTCATCCTTCGGTCATGCTCCAGCTCTGATGGCAAGGGGACGTCGAGAAACCAAACGAACTTTTGTCGTTCGGACCCCTCTGCTCCAGAGTGCTCTGTTGTTTGGAAGCCCACATGGTTCATGAGCCTTGAGCATCCAACAGCCCTGAAATCGCAAGCCGCTACCAAGCGTAAACTATCGTAACTTCACTTTCCAGTGATTCCCAAAATACATGGGGAAAAAAAGAAAAACAAACAAACACGGACAATGAACTGAAATTGAAACAAAGCGAAATGAATTGATGGTTGCGAAATGGAAACAAATGGTAACTGTTTCCAAAAGCGTCATGGCTCCTTCGCCTCAGAGACGCTCACGCGAGCCGCAGCGGCTGAAGCGTCGGTGACCTCGCTGGTCACCTGGACCTGGCCGAGGCACAAATGCATCGGAGCCACCGATGTTTTAGAATTGGGGAAGTTCTTTTGAACAAAACATGACCCAAAGATTGCCAAAAAATGCCCAATGGGCCCAAGCACATCTTTACATCGAGGTCTTCCAAAAACCTCCCCTCCCCACTCACCATGGTGCTGAAACTCAGCTTCACTGTTTCCACACCCCGCCCCAGACGGGCACCTCTGGCTTCGCCTGGCCTTCCGAGACATCGATCTTCGCCTAGGCACTGGGTACGGGCAGAACTGAGACCTGTCTGTTTGATCTACAGTACCTGGAAACGTCCAAGGCGATGGTTCCCTAGGAAAATTTTTGTACCACCTGAACTGGGTGTGCTGGATGACTGGTCTACTAAACATGTTCCTGTGACTATATACATGATTACCCCACAAGTCCCCCGTGCGTTTTGTTGACTCTGTCCATGGCGGCTGTTCAGCGCTGACATCCTTGTGAAATTGTTGGACAGGTGTGTCAGGTATTGTGTAAATCCAACCTCTGGAAACAGACATTGGGTTGACTTGGTGTTTGGTAGTGGCCTGGAAAGAGTTATTAGTTCTGGGTTGCACCTACACCTGCACTCGGACCCTTGGCACTAGCCGTAAATATCGTCGGTAGGTGATCCAACCGCAGTGTCTTGTTTGCAAACGACATGGCCCAAAAGGAACCTCGAGTTGAAAGTGGGCATGCTCCCTGTGGCTTGCCAGTGAAAACAGCAGCAAGTAAATTTGAAGTATGGTGGGTAAATCAGCACGGACCTGCTGCAGTATGAACATGCAACGTCAACCACGAAGCAAATAATTGGGAAGCGTGCTTAAACCGGCGCCTGGTTGTATTGCGTCCGCGGTGATACGTGCTCACCGGTAGCAGCACACACAGCTTCCTTCGACTTGTCCTAGTTCTGACCTACTATGTCGTACATATATTTCCATCACACAGCCAGCCACAGGCGGACTATTGGCGTGACCAGACGACCGCCCGGTAGGACTGAAATCAACAACAACTTGGTTAGTACGCCACAGTAGCACAACCCAGTGGTGTCAGTGTTCCCACCGTCTTGCCAGTGGCATTACCTGGTCACACCAATGTCCGGGTTGCCCATTACTTGAGACACGTTGTCAAGCGGTGGCCTGCTCGAGGAAAGAGATTTGCTGAGGTTCCAAACAAACTTCCGAACACGAAATCTCTGATCAAGCAATTTCCTACGTTAAGAATATACTGGCGCCTAGATGACCCTCCCAGCGGATGTTCAGACCCTGAAGCACTCCCCTGGAAGGTTCTGGGCTCCGGACCGCCGCACCCAAAAATTCCTGCGGAGATGACATGGATGATGAGTAAGGAAACTACAAGGCCCCTGTGAGAAGGTCTGCTCCAATCACTGCAATGTTTGAAGGTTTTGACTTTTGACCTTGACGAGAACAGGAAACCACCTGTTTGGGCATGCCAAGGCGACAACCAGGGCAGATTCTCCCATCAGCTGAGGCAGAACTATTCTATAATTGGAAGCCGCTTGGTTTTTAAGGCTTCATGTAACAACCCAAAAAGGGTTCAATAAGAAGTTTGGAACTCCCACATTCATGTACAGATCTGGATGTCTGGGGCTGACACCACACCTGTCGAATCCGCAAAGCTCCAGTCTGCTGTGCGTCTCGTATGGCTGTGTCTCAAAACTGGAAGCTACCAAATCACGATCTTGTCAATAGAAACAAGAAGCTACTAGGAACAAGTGCATCGCTTCTAGTGACAAGTGCCTTACTACTAGTAACAGGAAGCTATTAGGAAACAAGAAGCATTGGTTGTCATCTGTTGACTCGTCATCCGACCTGCAGGTGCTCAGCACAAAACGTCCATCAATACGTGTTGTGAAATCCACAAGACCAAGTTCCCAAATGAAGTTGAACATGTGTCGAAAAACGCAAACGCATTCCCGGTTTGGAGCATCTTCACTAACTACCTGTGACTAACTGCATTCTGGAGTCAAATCTTTTCTTCACGACCACCGGCCCAGCCATCGGCTCCTGCGAATCGGCCCGGCTCAGTGCGAAGAGCGCCGCGAGGAGGGCGAAGCGGAACATCGAGTCGAGTGGCGCTCTGTGAGGGTACGAAGCCTCAGGCGTCGAGGAACGCTCGTCGTCCTCGCTCCTCATCTGTCCCCAAAGCTGAAAGTAGAAAAGGAAGAGAGGCTCATTGGCATTGCGGGAACCATAAAACCAGGTGTGGACACTGGAGGTTGAACTCATGAACAAAGCCCTGTTTTGTCCCAACCCAAGGCCAAATAGCTTTGTTGGAAAAGAAGGGCTCCAAACATAGGGGGTGCAAGTGGTCTCAGAATAGAGTCCCCAAAAAGTCAGTCAAAAAACACGAAAAGTTGCTTGTCAGTTGGGGAGTTCTGGAAATCCTTCCAATAATGTATAAACCACTCCCCAAACCATATTATTGTGTAGCGCTACATAGACCCACCAAGGAACCTTTCCTTCTCGCAATGGTTTGGTCACTAAGTGGAGCCAACAAGTTCAACCCAAAACCAAACTTTTTTCGGAGGAACTGACGCTTCATCTTTGTGCTAAAGCCTTCCACTTCAATCCATGTCACCCGAAGCAATCGCAATCGCCATCCCAAGTCAAAGGGTGTTTGCTCATGCGGGTGTGTATGCAGATAACGAGACCTGACAAAGACCCCTGGAAGAAGGGAATTAGACCAAAACCCATTGGGCCAGGGGGTCTCCTTATATATTGTAATAAACACCCATCCATCTAAAAGGAAAGAATAACTCACAATTCACCTAAATTTGCAGTAACCAGCTCGAAGCCATAAGAGCTTTGGACATTGACTTCAACGAAACCAAGCTCCCCTACGAGTCCAGAGGTTCATACATACAGGAAAGGATGTGACAAGTTCATGAGACTCATAAAAGGCTCGGGTACACGGGTACACTACGTCCACTCATAACTAATGGTTTTACTGCCATCTGGCTGGAGCTCCAATCCTGGTTGTTTGGACCAGAAATGCATAAAAAGAAATGGGTTAGTTGACATACCTCACCCAAGAAAGCCTCCTCGTGAGTGCCTGCGTGAAGACCCTACTTGAGCACAAAACTCACGTGTTGTCGAAAAGTTTTGGGAAACGTCCACTTTCCCTGTCACAGTTGGTTCAAACCAAGCCACTGGGTACAATCCGAAGATTCTTATTTCTACGGACCCTATCCTTCAATTTGTGCCGTCTGATCCCGAAAGGTCTGCTGGCCAACAATGGTGGATCCGAAGCCGGCAGCGTCTAAGAAAACTGAGGATGTCAGAACACAAGACCCAAAACACAGGTTGCGATGCATGTGTCTGATATCAATTTCAAGTGGGTTCCTCAACTCCCCGCCGTCCCACACCGGACGGCCGGGGACGCGGCCGGTGGGTCCCTGGGTGGTCCGTCCGAGCCCGTCCGAGCCCAAAACTGCGAGAAGGCACGCGGTTCCACACGGATCCGTCAGAAAAACACCTGGCACCTATGGGCTGAATGAAAAGAAAAACCTCAGGCTACAGTCTGGTGCCTGGAAAAAGCAAGTGGACAGGATTTGAACCATTTTTCCTTTTTAGATGTTCGTTTTGGGGGGAAAAGGCAAACTAGTAGCTTAAGTAAGCTACTACCTACTGGACGCAGGATAGTGCTCGCACCAATCATTGGTTCCTAGATTTACAGGGAAACTTAAGTGAACTCAAGAGGTCCTCAACAAAGGCATGACCGTGTTGCAAGTTGATGTAAGCTTGCAAGCCCCGCAAAATAGGATCAAGCAAAGCGAAAACCTCCGGTCCACAAGGAATCTGAGATCTGGGTTTTAAGATGCTTTTGGCATCGGATAAATACAGCCTTTAGTATTGGGTCGCTCCCCGGCCCAGCCGGGTAGTGGATGATAGATGTTGCTAATCCCTGGCAAAAGTGTCTGCGTCGGAGGACCCCTTAAACCTTGAATGAGCAGAAGAATACTTCAATTATATTAACGGCTTCCAAGACCCGTTCCATCTCAAAGCAAAGACGAAGAGCCACATGTCCAAGTTCCAAGAAACTTATTCTTTTCTGGCTCTCTGCCCATGAACGTTTTCGGGCGGCTGTTCCGCCAGTCAGCGGCTTCACCATGATCTTGATCATACCCTCCTAATCAATGCAGACAGGTCGGTGTGCCTAGCTAGTAGTAAAAACGTCTCAATAATGACTGGGAAAGGGAGGAAGATTAGAAAAGGTGCGAAAGGGACATGAACTAAAGCCTCACTGAGTCGGAGGTTCCTTGAAAAACAGGACATCTTCCAAGTGTCACAGAAATGGCCCAGGTTTGGAAAGCAGAGAGGCTCCGCTGCTTTTACCATCAGCTTTTTGGCCTGATTGCTTGGGTGGGTCATAGTTGGGATAGCAGGGCCAAACACTGTAGGTTGCTGACAACTCATGTCGGCTCAACGTGCGACAAGTCAAAGGAATCTGCCTCACTCTTGAGCATGAATCAAATTCAACAGGCAATTGAACCAACCCGAACATCCACATGAAAGTCACCATCTCCAAAAGGTGAACAAGCCTCATCAGCAACTGCATTAGCAAATGAGGATTTGCACCAATTGCTCAAACTACTTCAAACTTTGTCTTGCTCAACCCTGGAGCTTGCAAATGCCAAAGCTGTGGTTTGAAGAGGCTTGAACTTGAAGCTGTACCAAACTCCTTGATCCCCTTGATTCCTCACACTCACCAAAGCTTATCTCACGACAAGGAGAAACCAAACAGCAAATCAGTATACTGAGTATACATTGACGCGCGGTATTATTACCGACAGTCTTATGGAAGTCCCTAATCGATTCTAAAGACAGACCTTCCGAGGGCTACTCCTACAACCATGCCCCGCACCCTTCTTCCCCGCGCCTCTGGCCGGCGCACGTGCTCTATGGCGGTCTCGTAAGCCTGGAGCCCTTCGAAGACGTGGGTTACGACCTCAGATCCCCCAAAAGTTGGCATGAATCAAAACTAGGTGAGTCTATTATAAGAAGGCGCTCCAACACCAAGGCCTTGACTGGATGCATGTATGATCGTTGGTCAAGTTAGCAACAAGACTACTGGCGGATGGATTAGAGTGTGACACAATATAGCCTCTGGCATGGAGTGCCAGATGTGAGGGATGATGAAAGGATCATGCCTTGCAGCTTTGGTATTCCTTCACCCAGTTCTTCAATGTCATATTCCGCAGCAGTTGGAAAGGTTCGTGCTGCTCACATGGTATTCTCCGACAGAAGATCGTCAGATTCCTTCTGGAATGGATTTTGTGGAGAAGACTCCAAACTGCCCGCACCCCAACCCACCCAAAAATCCAAAAATGCGGAATGCCCTTGTTACTAGTAGCTTCTTCCAACCCAATAGCGATGGCCTCCAGTAGCGATGCCCCTACTGCCAAGCCACGCTCGTGAGGCAACCGAGTGAAAGGATCTCCCGGACCCGCAGCCAATCCTCAGGCTCCGAGGACAGCGACCCCCGCAGCGTGAGCTGCCGCAGCACCACCTGAGATCAAACGATGGTCAGCTGGACAGCTCATCGCCTCCATGTACATCCATTAGGCAGTACCAGCTCCTGTGCTTGGTATGGTTCTTCTTTCACCAGGGCACCTCAATTGAGAATGGGTTTCCAGAAGTTCTGGGTTTCCAGAAAAAGGAAACTCTATCATCAAAACATATCTAAAAAACAAAACATGTCGCCACAGTACATCCCTTTTCATTCACCACAGTTTCCGTCTCCGTCTCCCTGTGCCGCTCCCGTCTCGGGATCTCCGGCTTTATCCGTGCAGAGCTCCACCGGCAGGTTCCCCGAAAGCCTCATCTCTGGGGTGCTCTCGGCTCGCAGGTTTCCCTCAGAACCACCCTGGTGACATCAGTGGTTGTGGAAATATCCACTTCCCTGACGTATGACCTGGCTGATGGTGTCACCCGGAAATCGGTGAACCCTTTGCATCGTTATCCAATGGTCCAAATTTGCAAAGGGGTCGTCTCAGGTCCCTCACTGTCCTCACCCTCATGTTTCCTTTATCTGTCTCTTTATCTTTAAAGTTTATGTTGAGGATGTTCTTGCTTTCATGTCCTTATCGACAAATCATGGTTTAAACTCTTTAGAAACTCTTCAATCTACCAAAATAATCCTCTAGCAAAAATAAACGAAGGACACAAACTCACCAATCAATTCGTTTCTGTTCAGTCCCTGTCTATCTCATATCTTCTTATTGAAATATTATTGCAAATTAATTAGCGGTCTATATATTTACTCCCATCTTTAAGTTGCAATAATCCACTAGGAAAACAACAAGAGGTAGAATTCCCTCAATAATATTTGTTCTTAGCGATTGAATGAAAAAGCCGAAGTAATCCTAGAAAGCGAATAATGTTGAATAACCGACAACTGCCAAATCTGTAACTTGGGAACCCACATCCTCTTATATATATATATATATTTGTGTGGGATTCTTTTGGTGAAAAAACAAAAATTAAGAATCCCGCATTTTTTTAATTATATGTTATATTTGGCAACAACTTATTCTATGTTATTAGTTGGTGGCCATTATTTCATTAAGTTATTCTACCCTTGGCTACATTATTACACCACACCCATTCATTTATAATTCTTAAGATTTTCTCCCTTAAGGAAGCCAAGGATACTATAATATTTAGTTTTTTATTAGATGGTGCTCTCTAAATATGATTAATATAATGCTTTGTTGGTCGCAACCTAGCAAATAAATATATAAATATATATATATATACAGTAGTAAATTTGGAGCAACAGCCATTTTTAACTTATATATATAATATCTTCTGACTCTTTCTGTGTATATGCATCTTGGTTATACAGCTCACCGCGTCATTTTCTGGAGAACTCTGATAACAGCTTTGTGCACCAATGTCCCTTTCGGTGGTTGTCGTTGTTTGGATCCGCGTGTAGATACAGTGTCCAGTTTCACGAAGCTGTCCACCTGCAAAGAGACAATTGGCGCAGGGCCAGGCTCATTCTCCCCTCTCAGAGCAGATCATTAGGCTAGTAAGTGGCTAGTACTCCATGCTCAGCAGGTGGCGGAACCCACGACGTTTTGCTGAATTTCTCTAAGGAGACCTGTGCCAAGAACCATCCTTCTGATTCTTGCTTTACCTGCCACTTTTGATCATGCCATGGCACCCCAAGAGCACCACGGTTCCGCCCGGCGCACAGACCGAAACAGCCAACTTCACGGCAGACGGAGTTCCCGCGGCCTCAAAGACCTGACTGCAACTTGAATGCCAACTGATGGGCACGTGCTGCTACCTTATAAGACCCAGCCAACTCTTTATGCAAACACTATTTATTCAATGTATGGAATTCGTTGACATTATATATATTGTTTTTGTAGGACACCCACCGAAGCTGTGCAATCATTTCAATTGACGCTGCAATTGTTCTCGGACCTCATGAGTTGTAACTCACTTGTTACTCGGTTGTTAGAGGCCGTCATTCCCTTAATCCATTTATGCATCTTCTTTCCTTTATGTATCAATTATCAATGTATCTGCTTTCCTGGCCCACTCTTCACACCACAAAGATTCAAAAACATGCTAGAAATGAAAACCACACTTGATTGGGAGGGTGCACCCATCGGCAGAGTCAGTGTTTTTGAAGCGGTATCATGGCATCGTATGGCATCGCGGCATTCACCCGACCCCCCCGGCCCCCACGGCCCCAGCGCACCAAGCTTGGCAGCTCGCCCTCCTCAGTCAGTGCCGTCTGAACCCCGGGCACTGCGACGTCCCAGGCCTTGCGCTGGCCACGGAAACAAGGGCTTCCAGAGGATTCCTCGACGTACAAAGACATGTCAAAAACAAGTGATTGAATTAAAGATCTGAAGGCATTTGAAATGAAGTCTGTTCCCCACCCCCCTCCCCACGCGCCAGCTCAGCACCCAGCGCTTGGGCGCGCTGCAGGCGCGCCGCCTGCGCACCCAGGAGTGCGACCCGCAGCCGCTGCGCAGACGAGGTCAGCAGGAGCTGGAGCAGCAGCAAACCTGCAAGAAGCGGCAGCGCGTTATTAGTAGGTAAGTCCATCCAAAGCATAATTGTGCTGAGGGAACTTGAGCATACCCGGACACAGCACAGGAGCTACGTCACGCATCTGGGCATCAAATGGTAGCCTTGATGTACTCAACAAGAGGTACCATGGCAGGTCAGTGAGAGATCCCCTCTCACTTACGAAAACACCACTTGCGACACATAGCGGACGGCAATTGAGCTGGCCGTGACCATGGGAGAGCAGGTGCAAGAGCAAACACAACAAATCTTGATCTCTGATGGCAAAGGAATAAAATACAGATCAACGAATCAACAAAAGCGCATCTTTCAAGACCAAGAAATATGTATATTATATATATGTGTGTCATCCTCCAGCCTACAGCTCCATCGCCCACAACCACCACACGCGAGTTGTCCACCTGCGTGCTTTGTGGTGCTTGATTGAAAGCTTTCTGGACTCCAGCTCTATCGAAAAATGTCGCATCACAAAGAACTCATCACACAACTATAACATCTATAACTTCTATAACTACTACTGACAACCAAACTAGAAAAAACAACACAATAGGCAGGGCCTAAAAAGCTAGGGCAACAAAGCATCTACAATGTACAACACCCGTCTCTTCCGCCTTCGCCAGGTCTGCCAGCCTCACTGCCTTGCAAGCGGTGGCCAATGGCTCGGCCAAGACTGCCAGGTCCCACGGGGTCTCAGGGGGCAGCACATGCAGCTGCCGTGCAGGGAAGCGCAAGACCTCGACCCACCACGAGACCCACCACGATGTGCGACCCACCCGGCGTAAGAAGAACGCTTTGAACACATGTCAGGTCGGGATAATGATAACCTTTGAAGACATCGCAACCATGCTGGCGACCCAAACACAGCACAATCTACAAAGCAGTGCACCCATGCAGGACTGTCCAGATTTGATTGAAACGTTTTCGAGACATCATAAGACACATATGTAAATGCACATGTGCGTGTTATATGAGAGAAGAGTTCTCAAAGGGCATATACAACAAAGCAAAAATCCACAAAGCAAAAATTTTGATGGAATCCCGGAACTGTTGTTCGCACAACAAAGAAGTGGGTCTTGGGATAAATGTGCTACTCCTTTCCTGAACAATGCAGTGACTCCTTTCCTGCGCAAACGAGACTCACTCAAAGTCAAACCACTCGAGGACACTCCTTATCCAATCCAACCCACCAGACTCACAGGCACCCCGGCGGTTTGAAAGGCACCCTCCCGTCCAAAGAAACCAGTCTCCTGGTGCTTCGCAAAGAAACCAGTCTCTGCTTGGAAGGAACCCATGTTTGGATCTGTTTGACTGAATGGCCTGCGCGCTGTGGGTTTTAATCACAGCGAATGTCACGTCAACATATTACAGTATCAAACATTCCCCAGAAGGGAACCTATGTCAAATTGCACACAACATCGTTGACCAAAACGGCTACCCAGCCTATAGACATTTGCCAACATCCAACCTGCACTTGGGGCACACGCAAATGCATTGGGAGTGAGAGTTGACCGGCAATCGTGAAGGCGAACCCGAAATCCAGTCCTATGGACAAGTCTGTCGAAAAGCAGCTTGGGGTGGAATGCAGTGAAGATTGAGCCAAGGTAAAAATGCAAAACGTCCAACGCTGTAAAACCATCTGGCACCCCTGCCGAGGTGTCAGACGTCAGACTGACGAGTGTGTTTTTGGTGAATGTGGTACAGTATTCGACCAAAAGTGCCCGCAGAATGTCCTGTACACGACGTACAGCTCAAGCGGAGGACAAGGGGTGCCGCATATCCAAACTGATGTTGGAGCATCCACAGAAACGTACGAGCGATGGTGGAGCTAGAACTCAAAACAAGAACCAACCGCGACTAGTGTCTATACAACAATCGGAAAAAATGGTGACATAGCCTAATCTGGTGCATTTGGCAGAAAACAAACTGATGCCAAAGGTCGTTTGTGACAAGCATGTTGCTTCACTACCATGTGCAAAAAAGAATGCACACCACGCGGCATCACCGGTTTCGTGAAGTGTTGCAACCCGGCCATGCCACAAGGCAGTCGAGGCGTCAACCTCAGCCATCCCTAGCAAGCACTGCTAAACCATTGGCGCCGCCAGCCCGAGCACCCAACCCTTGCAACCTCGCCGGTGTGCCAAGCCCAACCACAGACTGCCACCCCAATATGATGGCATCAAAGTACAACATCGCAACATATCAAAACAACTCCAACATAACAAAATTTCAGACACCGACACTTCCTATGGTTCATGTCTTTGCTTACTGTACGTCCACGCACCAGGTATCAAAAGCCACAAGAGCGCACAGGTGGGAAGAAATAGGTTGTGCCCTCCTCCCTGACCAGGTTGAAGCGCATTCAAGGAGGATTCGATGAAGATTGACATGGATTTACACAAACCGCTTCTGAAGTCTTTGCCATCCAGTCGGAAATCCCAAGCATATTCTCCAATCCCCTTTGCTTGCGTAGGACACATAAGCCTTCAGAAAGTCGCTCCAACCAGAAAATCCCCAGGCTCTGGTCTCCTTCCGTCGTGGGCAGCGCAGCAAGCCCCCCGGCCGACAGCAAATGCGGCACCTGTCGATAGCCAGCGGCCAATCCCCAGTGGCCCCAGTTGGGGTCGTTGAGCATGGATGTGTGAATGTGTGCCTTTGTCAAAATGGGGGAGACGGTCACAAAGCCCGACGTTGCATCAACCGCGTTGGTGGGCAACCTGCAAAGCCCAGTCCCTGCGAGAACTGCGCACTGGGGTACCAAACTTATACTGTGATACCAAACTAATTTGTTTTCAGAACCCAAGATGCTGCCCCTGCAAGTCGTTGTGCTTCTTTTTTACGTCTTTCAATTGACTCAAACTATCCTCCCATTCCAAGTCTGTGCCCACATGGCCCATTGCCAAAATTGACTTGTCCCCTAGTACAGTACAGTAACTCAGTACACCTTTTCATGACTTCCACCCCACATCCGCTCCTGGCACTGATCTCCTCTTCGATCGGCTCGCATCCTGAAAGATCTGCGCTGAAGTAAGACCCATATTAAAGACAAAACCATGGCCAGGGGAGAAACACACAATCTTCCGTGAGAAGAAGTAAACATTGCTCAATCCAGGTACTTGTTTTGCTGCTCCCCAGCTTTTAGCTTCTCGAGTGCCCAGGGAAGGTGAGTCCGGCCACCTGAGCAAAATGTTCCTAGTGGCTTCTTGTTACTACTAGTAAGGCACCTGTTACTACTAGCGAGGCACTTGTTCCTAGTGGCTTCTTGTTACCAAAAGGTTTTCTGCATTTAGTGCGGGTTCTGAAGACCGGGAGTCATGGAAATTCTGCATAAGTAACCAAATGACCGGACACCCACCTGTTTGGGTGTCCCGCGAGCAAACCACTCGTCCGAAAAAGGCAGAACATTTTGAAGTATCACCAGTCGTGCTGTTTTTTTTTTTTTGTTCTTATTCAGCCTTATTCAGGCGACATAGCTGCCGAAGAATCCAAAAGCATCCAAGAATCACTCCAACTCCACCCCACTGAGAGGCCTGCTACGGCCACCTCCGCCAGTTTAAAAGGCTGCCCCCGCTCCTGTACAATGCTCGCCCACCACGCGCTGTCCAACGCGGAGGTGCTCGGGCACTCTGGGCCCCAGCTCTAGGACTTCACCTAGGTCCAAAATGCACCGAGCAAGGGAAGGTTCAGAGAAGGCAACGACTGAGAACGCCAGTAGGGGACTGACATGTATAGTTTCAGGTTTCCCCATCCCTCAAGAACACACCAGGACACCTTCATCAGGATGGTCAGGACACATTTATGGTGCGACAACAGCGGACGAACAATGACAACAGTTATATACAGTAACTCAAAGAGTCAAAAATGGTGAAAAAACAATGGAGAAGACGCAAAGAAGGTACAGCAACTGAAACCCATTGGTTGAGTCCTATCTTCATGTTGAAACCTGGTTACGAACATCTGTCGCTCATCCAGGTCGCCCTTCTTCCCTTCTTCCTTCTGTATGGTCCATCGGGATTGGGTTCCCCTAAACTCCTCACAGCTGAAAAATTCCTTAACAGCATGGTTCCATCAAGTCATCTATCAGATTACGAGAATTTGTCATCATTTGTCCATCTATCAGTGGGGTGTAGGGAGCTGAAGGCCACTCCCGTGTGCAATTGGTTTCGGCCAGTGGTGTGTTTAAAGCATCCTGTAGAAGGAAACGGAAAACGGCTTCATGGTGGAATATTTGTGGTGGTGTTCATAGGCAGAGGCTTCAAGTTACGAGAAACCAACATCTACCCTAATAGCAAGCCTCCAACCTACTAGGGATGGCCTCCAATCTAGAAACCATGGCCACCAACATCTAGAACTTCATAGAACCGAAGACCTGAAACAGGCCAATGAGATCCAATGAAGGTAACTGTTCCCCGAGTCTGATCGGGCTGTGAAAGATCCAACCGGCAGGCGACAGTGGGCTGGTTTGTCCTTTTTGGCCTTGGAGGCCGAACGACGCTGCACACACTCCTCGGCACCCCCACCGGCCCATTCATGGCCCGGCACCAAAGGGAACCGTGACAGGCCACTGTGGTAGTAACCCATGGTCCCATCAAAAAGTTCCACGTCCTCATCTAGCGCGATGTGAGCGACGGTGACTGCTTGATGTTGGAGCCACGTATACAGTTTGATGTGGCCAGAAATCAATGACCGAGGCTTATAGCAAAATTGTTGAAAGGGACAATAAGCAAAATGTATCCAGTTCTGGTGACTGATCTTACAGGCGTCCCTGGCTCATCAAATAAGCGGAATTCTAGATTGGGTATACATGTTATTGGATGAGAGCGCTGTACCCATGAAACTGCCGCTCCTGCACTCCACTCGTGTGAATTGCGCAATGTTTGAAACGACCATCTTCGACTTTGAACCTTCGTAAAGTTGATCTCAAGCAACACAAGAATTTGGGGCTTTTGCTGCAGTCAACTTGGATTGTCCATAGTCCACATTCTGCTCCCACATCTCGTATGCAGGTACCAGGTACAGGGCAAAAAGAAACAAATCACAATTCAGAACCATATTCCCTGGCATCAGCTCACGGATTCCTAGAACCGAAGCCCCTACGGATTTCACTCAGAATGACATCCGCTGCTCCACACATCGACATCCCGCTTCAACAAAGGCTCCGTGGCGCAGACCCCAACTGCCTTGATTGCCACCAAGGCCTCCCCATCACCACAGGGAGCAGCCCGACAGCGGCGCAGCTCCTTGGCGGCGTGCTTGTGAAAAATGGACACACCAACGGGGATGGTCGATTCTTCTGGGCTGGGAGGGCCTTAAAAACCAGTTTGGCTCCAAGGTATCTTGAGCCAAAATAAACAGAATCAAATCAGCGGGATGAAGCATGCAAACCCAAGCCTTCCATAACCTGATGCATCATTTGAAACAGATTGGCTCGTTGGGAGCATTCGAGTGTGAAAGCCATCTGCTGCTAGACCCACGGTGCCACGTTTCAGCAAGAATGTATATATCTTATTGATAGTTCATGAGAGTTCGTTGAAAATCGTGAACGCCCCTTAGAACTTTATGGTTTATTCCTTACCCTCATTAGTCATTAGCAGCTCCCCACCCTCCATCCAGCAACTCTGCTGCTGAAAAGTAACCACCACCTGTGACATTGGCTGTCTACAATCTGAACAATTGGCACGAGCGAAAATTGTTTGCGCAAAGAGATACAGCGGTTCTTCTACCAGGTCGTTGTTGCATGTTCAGGAGAGAACCAGTCCAACCTTTTGATGTTCCATTCTTACACCTTCTTTCAACTGAGGGATACGTTCTGGGCAAAACCTGCTTCTTGCAACCTCCGTTGGTCTTCTGCAGCAAAGGAAGGCTGCGGGCTCATTGCAGGAAAGCATCCCGCCCCATTGTCTCAAACTTATTTTAACATGAGCGTTCCTCTTACCAAGTAGGCGCAAGCCATGAGTATCAAATCCCGAAATGCAAACGCTTTCTTCAAAAGGTGTGCGTTCTTGATCTGAACGGAGAATTTAGGCTCACAAACGTAGTGACCCCAAGTCACAGTCCAAAAGGTTAGATTGAAAGCTTAGGCACTCTTTTAGCTCAAGCTTGAAGTAAGCAGGTAAACTCAAATGAACACAAACGGCTGCAGTGAAACATACATCTATACAAAGCTATGATATGTACATGTAACTGGTGCTACATCTGATCACGCCTCCCGAGTTTAACGTCTCTCAGAAGTTAAGCGAGTCAGGGTTAGCACATGAGTGAATTAGCTCGTAGCCCTGCAGTACATCTTGGTCTTGAAGAAGTGCCTACTCTAGCTCAAGCCGTTCAAGCTCTCAGTGCTAGCTCATGTTCACCTTCCAGGTAGTGGAAGTTCATGCCTTTCATGGCTGTAGTCATTTCCTCCTCGGTGACAGCTTTCGTTAGCACGTCGGCCAACATTCGGTCGGCGCCTTCTTTCTTGAGACGAAACTCTTTCTTTGCTGTACGCTCTTGTACCCAGTGGCCCAGTGGTACTGAGTGTCAACATGTTTGGCTCGTCCCAAACCTCGACGGTTTCCCATGCGATGCCAGCGGAAGCGTCCATTGTCACCTCTTTGCTGGGAAACAATCCCCAGTCTTTGGCAGTTGATGCAATTCCAAGCGTCTGACACGCTCCACCATAATACTTGGATTCACCACTGCTAAGGGAGACAACTCCGTGTCCTTTGCTGTAGGTAGTGAGACAGCATTTGTTGGCCATGAGCACGCCTCCTGACACCTGACATATCTCGCCAATCGTTTCAGCATGTTCCAGTGCCTCGTGTTGGATTGTGTAGACCTCGTGCCAACGAGCGCGTTGCAGTTTGCAGATCGGGTCGATCTTGTGCCAAATACGCGGCTCTCGTAGTAATGGATCTATACATCGTTGCATCTTCGGCGCTCAGCGGAACTTCTTCCTCTTGACTTGGCTTGGCCAATGGTGTCTTGACCTTGCCTGGTTGACCAGCGCCTAACCAATTGATGATCAACTCTGCATGTCTTGGATCTGGTTCCCACCAAATGCCTTCGTTTGACCAAGTGATGATGCGATTCAACACTCGGATCTGTTGACTGGCTTTTGGTGATCCAGGTGGACCAAGAATGCCTCGCTCCACAACTTGCCATTCTTTGGCTGCTACCATTTGATAACGTCAAAACTTCCTACTGTCGTGAAATCATCTCCATGCACTTCTGTTCGAAGTCCTCTAGATGCATGGTAGTAGATACATGGATTTGATTTTCCTTGCAACAATCCCAGCTTCTTCATGAACTCTGCAATGGTCAGCTCCCAATTCATGGGTGCATCTCTGGTGCCATACACGCCTGACCAATCTGCCTACCACACCTCCATCTTCTGGCTTCTTGCCTTCAGATGGAATCTCAACATAGAGTTCTCTTGTTGCCTTGGAGTAGAAATGAGATCTTTTCACATCAAAAAATCCTAGAAATGATTGCCTTGTCTTTCTTTTCTCGCCTTTCTCCAATGGAAGGCTGTCGCTGACTGCAATGGTGAGCAGTAGCTTCAAAGCTGCTAAGCTCGGCATGGCTGCCAAAAGTTTTCTTGCGCCGCCAATCGACTTCTGTAGAGAGGATTGGTTTCATCTTGCTTGTTCACATCAACCCATCGAGTTCCAATGATTTTGGTTCCTTTTGGAACTTGGCTTCTGGGGATCTTCTCCCAAACTCCCATAGATTCGACAACGTCGATCTCATCTTTTCTGGCTTTCTCTACCTTTTCAGGTAAGAGTTCTTTTCCACTGATGTCATCATGGTACCACCAGTCTTTTGCCTCTTCTGCCATTTCTTCTGGCAGTGGGATCTTCTCTTCACACACTGGTTTCTCTGGGCTGCTAGATAGCACTCTTTCTCTGTCTTCTAGGATTAGGCTTTCTAGAGCCATCTGAAAAGTCTGGATGTCTCTGGTTCTCTCGGCTTCATCTTCATGTTTGCCTTCTGCCTTTCTGATCCTGTCTCTATCTACTCTGGCTTTTGCTGTTGGTGATCCTGCTGGTTCATGTTGCTCTTCTCTCCACGCGGTTCAGGTTCGCGTGGTCTACGAATTCCTGAGGCTGATGCGGGCGCTGTGCCTAGTGTCGGTGGTGCTGCGGCTGGTTCGTACCACAGTTCTGTCACTATTGAGTATCTCTGGTGGAAGGTCAGTTGTCATGACTCCATTCTCAATGATTGCATTGTTTGCATGGTTTCTTGTGACTTGATGCCAGACGGTAGACCAGTCAGGTCCTCCTGGCATTGTAGTTTGAAAACATCGTCGACGTCGAGTCGTGCGAATACCCGACATGAATCAAGAACCCCCGATGGTCTCTTGCTATCGTATCCATGAAGGATTTGAGGTCTCTTGCCACTGACTGGCTGTGGCATGCCCGTGACTGCCTCTCCTACTCGACTCTCATGTCTTGCTACCCTTGGATTCTCTTCTTCTTCACCTCTGATGTGCGACTCTTCAAGCCTGTCTCGACACCTGTTGGTGGCTGGACTAAAGCTTCACCGCTTGGACTGGCAATGACTGGTTCCCTTGGGGCAGTAATCGCAGGTTCTTCGCGAGTTGCTTGAGGATTCCAGGGAATGCCAGTGATCGACTTCAGCAATGCTGAGTCATATCGATCTTCTTCGGGCTTTCGTCGGATTGACTGCACTGTGTAAACTCCAGTGGCTGCGCCTACTATCTTCTCTGTGGTGCTGTCTTTCACTCCTAGAAAAATACCCTTAGTCCATTGGGCTTCGAACTTGTGACCTCTCTTGAGGTATTCGATGGCTTCACCAAAAGGTGGAATGGCTACTTTCCATTCACGTCCACGAAGTCTTGAGTATGGCGTCTCTCCGTCTTGGAGTTCGGTCGATCGGAAGAACAAATTGTAGACCGTGGATGCATAATGTTCAACCAACCATGTCAAAATAGGTGAGTCGTCTGGAAGCTTTTCACCATAGTTCGACTCGAGCGTGGCTCGAAAAGTCCTTGCTTGGCCTTCCAAGGTTTGAACTGCTCGTTCAATTTCTCCCGTGGACTCTTTGACTCCTTTCGGGCTCTTCTCGATGATCAAGGTTCCTTCAAACCCGTTCTTTACTGCCTCAGCGACGGATGTGAGAGCAGGTTCGGGATCATGTCGAATGACCAGTTTGGAATACCCTAGTTTCTTGATGTCAGGAGTACCTTGGATCCATATGGCCCTTTTGTCACACCTTCGTAGGGTAACACGTGGGCAAAAAGATGTTTCGTCCATCGATCTCTGACAACTAGGATTGGGGCATGTGTCTTCTCATCCATGACTACGTCGTCAGTCCGTGAATTCATGAAACAGTAATCTACAATCGCTACTGGCGTGGTTTCATCTGAATGATCCACCCTCTTGTGTGGATTGGCCTTGACCTTACCTCTAATTCAGACCTCACACCACGAACGAAAAGGAAAATGTGAAACTGCGTGTTCCTCGAGCTCTTTTCGCGTTGGGCGAACTGGAGCGTTGATGGAAGTTCATCACCTGGCTCGGCCTCAGCGGCTTCAAAATCTGCCGGGGCCTCTTCGTCCATGACCGGACTTACCCACATCGGCGCCGGGTGAAATGGTGGAACACGATCGGCACGGAGTAAACTCCGTTGCAAGAGGAAATTGGGATCTTCTTCCCATCGCGAGCCATGTGTCCTCCAGTCTTGCTCATCTGGATGGACCAACCCTGTCGGCAAGGGCTCCTGCAGACAGCTTCGAGCCCGATGCCAATCGTCACCTTGGCGTTGATCTTGTCAAGATCTTTCACCGTCTCGCCTGATGCTGTCTTGTAGATCTTGAGTTCATGTCTTCAGGCTGAACAGGCTTGTAGCCCAATGCTGCGGCGAGTTCGACTGGGATGCAGGACGTGGCTGCTCGTGAATCCAAAGTCACCTGATGAGCCATAGGTGTCTCGATGGATGCCAGCTCCAAAATTTTGAGGGCCAATGGATCGCCATCCTCACTTGGCTCACTTGAAGGTGTTGGATGCCCTTTCCTTTCTGGGTCTCAGGAGCGCATCTCGCGAGGTTGGGCTGCCTCTCTGTCCCTTTGCAGTCTTACTGCGCTTTTGCTTGAGGGACCATTCCTTAGCGCATTGACCAAGGACCTTTGGTGGGCAACAATTCAAAGCCATATGGTGATTGCATAGGCCAGTATCGTTGTCGCACTTCAGCGCCTTGTTGCAAGCACGGCAAATCATGCGCTTGCGGCCGTCCTTGTCTTTGTGGGTGCATTTTGTCACCCAGTCATCATAGCTGATGATGTGCTCCTGACTGTTGTCGAGCCACGGCGCGGGATCATCTTCTGGCTCCTTTTCCTCTTCCTGTTCAGCAACAGAACAGGTCTTCAGCTGGCTCAGTGCCAGTCTCATCTTCTTCAACTTCACCTTCAAACTCTGCCTCATCAAGTCCCTCGATCTCTGCCACATCGAGGGGATCAATGGTCTCCATGACTGGTGCAGTGAAGGATGGTGCACTTCCTGCTCCTTCACCATGGTCAATGCGCGTCATCACATAGTCTTGTGGGTTGAACCCAGCAGCAGTGAGCGCCTTGTCGATGACATTGCGGGCTGGTGGCTTGTAGCTGTCCAAGTTTGGCTTTCCCGCTTCATCTCTGCCAACTCCTTGGTGGAGAGATCTTCAAGCTTGGGCTCCTTGGACGGTTTCTTACCTCGATGTCGTGGTGCGTTCGCGTCCTCGAGGTTCGAACTCTTTCTCCTCATCGTCGTCCCAGGCCTGAAGCTTGCCTGTGCCCTTGGCGCGCGCGCGATTTCGTAGTAATCCAATTCTTCTGGGTACTTGGACTCGTAGTCGCGCCAGGATTCAAAACGATCCTGGGCCGTAGCAACTCGATGCTGCTCGGCGCGTACACAACTCTTCTCCTTCTTCTTGGCCAATCTTGGATCCATGCCTGATGCCAAATCAGCTGAGAGCCTTGGCGACTCCGCCGGCACCGAAGCGGCACGGCTGGAAGTTGGCCTCTTCAGCAAAATCTTGGCCTCATGCTCTTTCTCAGCATACTGCTCTTTCAGCTTCTTCATCTCAGCCTGTCGCTCCAAGATGGCATCATTGGCAGCTTTGCCTTGAGCCTCGGCCTCTTCGATGGCCTTTTGAATTGACTCGGACTTCTTTTCATACAGCTCACGATTGGACTGCATGGTCTCTTGGATTGCTTGGTTCATGACTGCAATCCCAACAGCTGCAATTCCAGGGCGACCTTTTCCAGCTCCTGGCTTATTTGGCATGGCCTTGACTTCAGTCTGGGCTTTTGCCCCGACTGCTCCACGAGAGATTGCGGCAGGCGCTGCTTTCTCCATCTCGATGGCAAAGAGTGTGGCGATGTCAGCGGAATACTCAGGCTCGGGTTGATGCTCTTGAGCCATAGAGGTTTCAGATTCCTCAACTGTCGCTACCTTCTTACTCTTACTCTTGCCCTTACCTTTAGAATCTTTGCCTTTACCCTTGGAGTTTTGGTTGTACCAACTACTCTTGTTCCACTCATTCTTGTACCAATCATTCTTATTCCATGAATTGTTCCATGATGAGGGATTGGACCAACTCGAACCTTTTCCCTTCTGTTTAACTTTGTCGTTTCCCTTGCCTCCCTCTTGACTCTTTCCTTTTCCTTTACCGCCTTTTGAGCCACCTTTGCCTTTTCCTTTGGCTTTGGCCAGACTCGCAAGTGAAGATTGCATCTGGCTGGCAGCTGCGGCTAATGTATCAACATCGAGCCTGTCTTGGCTTCTCTTCGGCTCTCGATGTTCTCGAGATAGGCCAAAATCTCTGACTTCATGATGCCATAGTCAGTGAGTCTTGAACTTTGGAGGCCAAGGTGATCTTGAAGTTTGGTTGGACACATCTGCTGGAGACAATTGCTTGCTATGTCGTCGTCAAGAGCTTTCTTCTTTCGCTCTTCGTATTTTCGCCTGATGTTCTCCCAGGCTTCTATGCTCTCTCTGAGCTTGTCCAATGCACACTGCTGTGGGTGCAGGACCTTCTTCAGCAAAGCTGAGTTTGCTTGTGGATTCTGTGGGTCATACTTGGCGATCAGTCGTCGCAATGCCTCTAGGCCAAAGTGCTGACCTCTGGAGGTGTTCTTGACGATCTCGAGGGCTTCTCCCTCGCACAGTGAGATCAGAGCCTGTCGGGCCTGAGCTGAAACAAGCTCGGCTACTTCAGGGTAATCATCTTCCAGAGGTGTCTCATTGATCTCTGTGTCTTGGTGCTCTTCGAGGAGCTGAATGCACTTTCCTGCATTCTTGTGACTTGTCTCAATCCAAGTCTTGAACTTGAAGTACCATGAGTCCCAGGTACCTGTGTGTCCATTGAACTTGTCAGGCTTTGGGATGCCTTTCAATTCTGATCTGTCTCGTACTTCTACACTGGTTGCTATGTTCCTTGTGATTGCCGTTTGTTGGGTGTATGCTTCTGCCATTGCTCGTTGCAGTTGGTTCTGCCCTTGTGCTAAGGCTTGCATCCTCTGTGCAAATTGCTGTGCCATGTCTGTGGCTTGTTGTGCCTGTGCTCCTGGCTGTTGCGCCATGTTGACTTGCTAGCCAGGGATTGAAGCAATCTGGCTTTCCTGCAAGTGATGTTTGTATTCACGGATCTCCGGTGCCAGAACCGATGCAGTTCGGCAACCTTCGATCCGCAGACGGTAGCCGGGTCTTAGAACCGCGGCTCCGCTACCATGAACGGAGAATTTAGGCTCACAAACGTAGTGACCCCAAGTCACAGTCCCAAAGGTTATATTGAAAGCTTAGGCACTCTTTTAGCTCACACTTGAAGTAAGCAGGTAAACTCAAATGAACACAAACGGCTGCAGTGAAACATACATCTATACAAAGCTATGGCATGTACATGTAAGTGGTGCTACATCTGATCATGATCTGCACCCATTTTCTCAACAATGAACAAGTGCCTTCTAATCAACTTGCAAGACTGTGCAAGCACATTCCCCAAGACCCGGAATGAATGGCATGATTTCGCGTCACCAATAGTATCTTCCAACTTCAAAGGCCACGGAACTGCCCCCGATTGAAATAGGTCAGCATGTACAACACCATTGATCAGGTGGAAACGCAACAAACGGCATGTGGTGTATCACCCTTGACCATCTAGATTTGGCATATGCGACTCATTCACTTTCAAACACATGATGGGAGCTTGCCACCTCTTGCAGCCCAGTATCCACAACTTTTGGGCCGGTGATGGTGACCACATCAATTTCCATGGCGCGCAACTCCTCGTGCCAAAGAAATCAACAACACACTATCGCAACATGATAGCCTTGACTGCGTGCTGCTTCTACAAATGGAAAGACCTGGCAGCACCCCAAACAGCTGAGACTCTGATATTTTTGAATCCCTGCCCCCAACTGGTGCGTGAAAATGACTCCCAAAAAGTACATGGTGTTTTTCCAGCTGGATGACATGCCGTTTCCAAAGAATTGGATGAGTGGGAAGCATCTGACAAAGAACTGGATTGGTATTCATTCAATAATCACTTTTTTGTAACCTGCAAAATTGATGTCTGATGGTTGGATCCCTTGCGGCATCAAACCCCATCCAATGTTGTCCAAATCGTCGATTTGGCAACACATCAATTTTCAGACTTCTGGACTTACCTTGAGCCCACCGAGTTTCTCAATGGTGCATGGGCAAGTTGGCACTTCCACATTGCATGTTTGCAATCGTGTACGTTTATTTACCGTGTTGGCTCTCAATTGTGTCGATGGCCTTCAATGCACTTCCACCTGTTCTCAACCGGTACTCATGCAAAATTGAGTTTTCATGCGCTTCAAAGTCCAGTAGTTTCAACAACTGCAAAAATTCAATGGCGTTTTGACATTTGCATATCGAATTGTGCCACGGACTTCTTCGAAGTGGGTAAGGTGGTGTGAATGAGTTGGTGTGAGCAATTTGGTGTGTATATAAGTTTGTGTGAGTGAGCTGGTGCGAGCGGGTTGCTGTCAATGGTTTGCCTTGAATATGTTGCTGAGCGGGAGTGGCGCGAGGAGGACAGAAGGAGGAAAAGCGGGAAGACCATCTACTATCTATCTGCCTATCTATCTTATGCTGGTTCAAAGTACAGTAGGCGTAACGACGCTTCCAATGATGACCCTACACGCTGAGTACGGGTACATGGTACGTGGAGTTGGTACGTGGTACATGGAATTGGTACGTGGAGTTAGTACACATTACGTGGAGTTGGTACGCGGAGTTGGTGCGTGTTAGTGGAGTTGGTACGTGGAGTTGGTACATGGTACGTGGAGTTGGTACGTGTTACGTGGAGATGGTACATGGTACGTGGAGTTGGTACTTGGAGTTGGTACGTGGTACGTGGAGTTGGTACGTGGAGTTGGTATGTGGTATGTGGAGTTGGTATGCATGCGTGTGACATTGTATATTGGGTCGACACATTGACAGCCAAAAAATGTTCAACTATGAGATTATATATAGAGACTGAGAGACTATGTTCTACTTTGCTACGGCTTCTGGTAAAGAAGTGTTTGTACGATGAGGATAGAGTGCATGTGACACCGTGCACAAACAAATGGCAAAGAGTAACACTGCTGCTTGACTTCGCGCGGTCGCACCTCTGCATTTTGTAGCAAAGGGGCAATGCTTTACCATACATAGTTACATGGTTTCAGAGATAAGTATAGTTTTGCAAACTTACAATAAGAGATAAGTCACCCAAAAACCATTGATATAGGCAGGGATTTGGTTCATTTGGATTTGGATTTGCTTCATTATTGACCATTCATTTACTATTTACCTGTTGTTTGGATAGCGCAATGTGTTGCAATGTGATATGCAGCTAGCTGCACTCTGTGGCAATGACTTCTCGGCGGAGTTTGCTGGAAACCTGCCACAGCAACTGAGCTTGCTCAACGAGTGGAAACAACGCTGAAGAGATTACTTTCTAACTTGTCGTATTCTCTTGCGTTGCAATCGCACCATGTGTACCACTCTAGCAGCCTTTTACCAATACACAGGGCTTGATCTGTTGTCTCTTGATCTGTTGGCTTGATCTGTTGTTTTGTTTTGGACCGTTGTGTTTCGGTTAGATGCAAATCAATGACCAGTGACATAGTAGATACTGCTTTAGTGCTTCTTGCTGAATACCGGATTTGGATACCACACTGCTGCTTCAGGTATTGCAACAGTGGGATCAGATGTCGTCGAGAGAAGGAAAAGCGCCTGGGATTGAACATCAAATATGATTTGATAAAACCATGGAAGCAATACTAATATTAGTATTTGTGCTATGGATTCTGATTTGGTCACATGACATGCTGTGGTTCTGGTGACCAAATAGTGTTTGTGTTATATGTCTGTATATGTGTTCATTTCTTTCTAGGCTCACAACGTGGACAGACCATCGACGACCTATGACCAAGAAACAGACCATCAAGCCACAGAGTATGAGGTGCTTGTGAGGAATAGTATGTGCATTGTATATGTGTGGGACGTTGGCAGCTCATATTTGATCAGTGAACAAACATTCACTTGAAGGTCACTGGTGGACCATGTGAATTCTCTCGCAGAACGCCGGAATCAGATCTTCTGTTTGCGCCGTGGAAAGCCGACCAAACAAAAAGTCAAAGGTACTGGAAGATATAAGGCCTTTACTCCAGGAACAATGCTGACATCTACGTTTCTTTGTTTTTTTGAGTCGTGTAAGATTTGCTTTTGTTGTTTGCATTGCTTTGGCGATTTGCTTACAATTCTTTCAAGCACTTGTGGATCAGTGACATTTTTTGGGGTTTGGATGAATCGTGAAACATTAACATGTCTTGAGCCTTCAGCGTCTTCGTTTATGTCCGAAGCTTGTGCCTTCATTCTTGAGGTTTGGCAAACTGCCACCAATTTCAGCTATCCGTGCTAAGAATGCAACAGTGCGACACCAGAGCCCTGCAGCTTGGAGGAATCATAAGAACAACTACAACCCAAACATACATATATAAGCTGCTTAAGCTGTACAACAATGACATGACACGATTTCTCTTTGAAATGCAGTGAAAACGTATTTGTTGAACCTGGACCTTGAGGTAAAGGTTAGGCCAGGCATTACAAATACAATCAAGGTTCAAGGTCAGCAATCAACGGTCTATCTTTGGTTTTGCCTTAGGAACCAAAAGATCACTTGAAAACCTGTACTGTTTATGAACCAGGCGATGTTCTCTTTGTCATCGACTGCGTATTGGCTATCGACTTCCACCCGCTACTTGAGATGCGCTGCTTTGCTGATTGGACGCAACATTCAATGAATGCAGTTGAACGAGCAACCATCTTACTCTGAGTGTGACTAGCTGAGCACAACATACTTGCTTAGGCTTATTTCATATAAATGAAATTTGAAGTAATGTTAAGACTAATTTGTTCAACGTGCTGGGAGAAAAGATTTTGCAATGTACTGAGACTCTGTCACCATAACAAGTTTGTTGCCTTCACAATTGCCTATAGGTCCGGAATGCCATTGTGAACACGTACATCCAGCTTCAGAGGATGATAGCGCAAGCGTTGAGTGTGGGTCATGCCTAAGCTGTAGTTTGATACAATCAATTTGACAATCAGTTTTCTTAGTCAGTTCAAATCAGCACATATGGCAGTTGAGATTAAGGTCAACAAGGACTTCATCAAGATTTCCTTGGAGTGGGATGAGACAGGGCAGGAATTGAGACTAAGAAGAGACTCCCTGATAGAAGTTCAAGGTGTTATGCCTGTATTGGTGACTTGACAACGTCATTATGAGCCAGTTGTAGACAATGACAATGGATGTTTTTTTATGGTCAGCTGTCATATCATATCAGATTGAGCTTTAAGTAGCGTGAGAGTGAAAGTATATGTTTTATATTTCCAGGGGTTTCTGTGGTTGTGTGACAATGTGGCTCAGGCACAATGGATGTCTTTGACTGTCCCTGGGCGCAATGCAGCAAACAATGAGGAGGACTTCAAGACATTTGGTTTTTCTATTGGAACATGAATTTGCCAACAAGGCCTTGACTGATGGGGCCTTGTATATATATATATACAACTTTACTTATGGTTTCTGGTGTGTATGTATTAGATGCGTAACATGATAGGTTGGTGATTGACATCCATTTTTTGTGTTAAACAAAACAATGGCACTATGTCGTATAGTCTATTAAAGTCTATTATGACACTTGTTTCATCATTCCACCAGTGGCGATCGAAGATACTACTGGTGAGGGCATTTGGTCTGGGATGATGCTTTCACAGCCGATCAAGATTACAGGCACACATAAATAACTGGTTTTCTATTTCACTCTTTTCTTGCTTTTTAAACCTTTGTATAGTTGTCAATTTAAAAAAAAGGTTCAAAAGTGATCTTGTCAGCCTGAGTAGTAATTGTTTTGTCATGAACTGTTCATAAAAATAGACATGCTTCATTGTTGAGTTTCTGCAACAACCAGATTGGAGTCTTCTTTTTGCACGGTTGGAGACGCCATGTGTGCAGAGAATGCACAGGTCATCTTGCGCTACTTGTGAGTGAGTCTCAGGCCAGGAAAGGTCAACCAAGCAAAACACGCAAACCAAACAACCCAAAAGACCAAAAACCAAAGGGAGCGTCTGTTGCCTGCGTTACATGGGGCGATCCACCTCAGTACACTTCTTCTGCCATGGACCCCATCTTTGTGTTACACCAAATCCCGCGTGTCTTAGTTGTAGCAGGCTGTGTTGATGACACCACCATTGTTGCCCTTCAAAATTTTTTGCACGGGTCGAGGCGCTATGCGAAAAACTCCGGGTAGCAACCTTACACATTTTTTTTTGCACGGGTGGAGGCGCTTTGTGTGCCGAGAGGCACAAGTCACCTTGATTGAATTAAATAGAGATACTGAGGAGATACGAGCCAGGCACCAGAACAAAGCACCAAACCACAAAACAAAACAAAAACAAACAGCACAAAGCACCCCCAAACACAAGACACCAAAAAGCCGGGTTCGTATCTCAAGAGGGCTATCCAAGCCGAAGCAAAAGTAGAGTGAGAACGAGGTGAAACGGGGCCATGAATTCGTACTTCTACTTGCACTCAGTACTTGAAGGTCAGGAAGTAGCGAAATTCCTTTCAGCGGGCAGTGAGTGCTTGTGTGGCAAGATTGAAACCAGCCTATGTGCGCAAGGAGTATCCATGCAAGTGCCGGAGTTGTGGAGCGTTTGTGTGCAATTGCTTTGAAGCTCAGCAAAGTGTGACTTATCTCCA